CAAACTTTATAAGTTTTAAATAACAAACTTTATAAGTTTTAAATAACTTTGTAAGTTTTAAATAAACTTTGTTTCTGAGTCTTTGTTTAATGTCCTGACACTTCTCTTTGATCTGTTCTGCCTGTTTAAATTACAATCTTCACAAGTTTTAAATAACAAACTTTGTTTGTTGGTTTGTTGTTGTCGTTGTTTTGCTTTGTTTTGTTTTTTTGAATGTCCAGAGGACCAGATTTAACTTTTTTAGATTTTTCTACCTGGATTATTGAGCATGCATCAGGATGTTCTGCCTGTTTGTTGAGGCTCGTTCACTGACAGAGGAATGAACTGCGGGGTGCACAGTGTTACCCACAGAGACATGTGACAATGATGTGACTGGACTTGATCAGATTGGAATATCGGGACAGGTGGTGGGGTTGAAAAAATCCTTTTCTGTTTATGTTTTGTATTTTCTTGTGCAGTGCCACACAGGCAGAAGTACTTTAATGCCTCGAGGTGCTTCAGTCAAACATCAGGAGTGACACCAGCACGCCTCGCTGTGATCCAGATCCACTTCATGAATGTGACAGCTTCTGATAACAAGTTCATGTGAGAGTTCATCAGGTTTGTAGACGAGCTGTAACCCTGTCCCCAAGAAGATATCTGGGTGCGTGAAGCCAGGTGTGAAAAAATGGACCTCTTGGGTCATGGTGAGTTAAGAGAGAACAGAACCCCAAAAATTGGTGTTGTTGGTTTGGTTTGTGTTTACAGTTGATTTTTTTTAAATTAATTATATATTGAAAATGTGTTATAAATTCTAAAGAAATGTTATTTGTACATCTGTACCACCATTCCTGACTATTATTGAACTGTTGTGAACTGCACACATCATTACAAGCCTAGTCAAACGTATACATTAGGCTGACATCCGGTGCCAGCGCTGGAAGTATGCTGGGCCAGCTCAGGGCCACCAATGTATCTGCAGCTGTCCCCGAGACCACCTCTGGCAAACCACACCTGGGCCATCAAAGGGCAATTATTCTTTGTGAATTGTAGCCAAGTGTGAGTGTATTGTGTGGGCCAGAACTGGGCCAGAACCATTTTGCTACACGGGTTCATTAAAGATTATAACACTGTATGAAGTAGGTGTCTAAAGTACACTGTAATTACTATAAAGTAATCTGTAATTTAGTTTATCTTTTATATTTTATTCGCACCTTTATGCTGATGCAAGTTCCTAGGCTGTGAATCCTGTTCATTGACAATGGCAATAACAAACTGAATCTGAATCTAATTACTATAAAGTACACCTCAATTACTATAAAATACACTGTGGTTAATAATAATAATAATAATAATAATGATAATAATGTACTTTATTTATAAAGTCCATTAAAACAACCACAGGTGCACCAAAGTGCTGTACACATTAAATTAAGAATGTTTAAGGATAAAATAGTTGTTAAAACTTTTAGATCAATAAAAACAATAAAAATGGTGCAGAGCAAATTTCAGGCTGTGCCAAAAGCCAGGGAGTAAAAATGTGTTTTTAAAAGAGTTTAAAAAATGGACAGTGAAGGGGCTCATCTGATGGGAAGAGGGAGATCGTTCCACAGTCTTGGAGCAGTTACAGAAAAAGATCTGTCTCCTCTGATCCTGGACCTCAGCATTTTCAGGAGCAGCTGATCAGCTGATCTGAGGCACCGAGCAGGAGAACAACATCACTTCTGTTTTCTTTTCAATAAAATTTAAAAAAGTTTAAAGACATCCAGGCTTTGATCTCTTTAAGACACAACAGAAGTAGCCTAACTAAGGGGGCCATCTTTCTTTTTTAGAGGCATATAGATCTGACTATTGTCAGCATAGCAGTGAAAAAAGATCCTATGCTTTCTGTGAAATGATCCCAAGTGAAGCAGGTAAAGGGAGAAAATCAGGGAACCTAAAATAGAGCCCTGTGGAATCCCAAAAAAAAGAGGAGCAGTGAGAATTCAGAACCAGCTATGTTGACACACAGTTCTGTCTGCCAAATATGACCTAAACCAGCTCAGTGCAGTACCATAGATACCCCTTGGGGCTGTAATTGTGATATTAAAATGTTATGGTCCACAGTGTCAAAGGCAGCGGTTAGGTCAAGCAGGACCAGAACCACAAGTTCACCAGAATCATTAACCATAAGAAAATCATTAAAACTCTGACTAGAGCTGATTCTGTGCTGTGCTGAGTTTTGAGTACTTTAGTTACTATAAAGTACACTGCAGTCACTATAAAGTACTCTACAGTTACTAAAGTACATAATAGTTACTATAGAGTACACTACAGTTACTATAAAGTACACTGTAGTTACTATAAAGTACACTACAGTTAATAAAGTACACTGCTGTTACTATAAAGTACACAGTAGTTACTATAAAGTACACTGTAGTTACTATAAAGTACACTACAGTTAATAAAGTACACTGCTGTTACTATAAAGTACACAGTAGTTACTATAACGTATACAGCAGTTACTATAATGTACACTACAATTACTATAAAGTACACAGTAGTTACTATAAAGTACACTGTAATTACTATAAAGTACACTGATGTTACTATAAAGAACACTGATGTTACTATAAAATACACTGTAGTTATAACAAAGTACACAGTAGTTATTATAAAGTAATCTGTAGTTACAATAAAGTACACTATAGTTACTATAAAGTACACTATTTTTTCTACAAAGTGCACATAGTAGATACTATAAAGTACACAGTAGTTATTAAAAAGTAAACTGTAGTTACAATAAAGTAAACTGTAGTTACTATAAAGTACACAGTATACTGCAGTACAAAGAATACTGTAGTTACTAAAAAAGTACACTGTAGTTACTAAAAAAGTACACTGTAGTTACTATAAAGTACACAATAGTTATTAAAAAGTAAACTGCAGTTATTATAAAGTATACTGTAGTTAGTAAAAAAGTACATTGCAGTTACTATAAAGTAAACTGTAGTTACTATAAAGTACACTGTTGTTACTATAAAGTACACTGTTGTTACTATAAAGTACACAGTATACTGTAGTACAAAGTATACTGTAGTTACTAAAAAAATACACTTTAGTTACTATAAAGTACACCATAGTTATTAAGAAGTAAACTGCAGATACTATAAAGTACACAGTATACTGTAGTACAAAGAATACTGTAGTTACTAAAAAAGTACACTGTAGTTACTAAAAAAGTACACTGTAGTTACTATAAAGTACACTGTAGTTACTATAAAGTAAACTGCAGTTACTATAAAGCGTTTAACACTGTATGAAGTATGTATCTGAAGTACATGAAGTTAAAACATTTAGTATAAAGTACCTCACACCTTTAGAAACCTTTTTAAATTTGAGAAACATGTTTGTGTAAATCCTCCGATTGTTCGGCAGGTAATAAGTTCGGCTGTTTTTAGGGTCCAGCTTTTATCTGTAAGACGTGATAAAATACACAACAGCTGATAAGAACAGACAAAAACCAGGTTTTGTTTTTGTTGGTGAGTCAGAGTTTGTTACAGAGAGGGTGTGTGAGAAGAACGCAGCAGTGTCACATTTATACAAAACCCAGGAGAAAACCTAAACACACACACAGACTCGTGCACGCGCACACACAAAGGAACATAAAATGAGCTGAACTCACCGATCATGTGGTTTGCAACATGAATCTGGATCTCTCTTTCCGTCTCAAACGTCATTTGGCATTTGATACACTGGTAGGTTTTTTTCTGGAACAAATACATATACATATACATATGTACATATATTTATTTTTATATTTATTTAAATATGTGTATAAATATTATGACAAGAACAGCAAGCGTTTAAACCTGGACTAGAAACAACAAATCAGGAAAACACAATGACAGAATAACAGCTTGTCAAATAAAAAATAAAATAACAATAAAAATAATAGAAAACGTTTTTGTTTTCTTGTGTGTCCATCTGCTTCTTTTTCATTTTCACAACCAAAGGAGGTAACTTCAGCCCATTAGAGGGTCAGGGGTTTGATTCCCGGACACTGCAGTGTGCTGATGTGCCCTTGAGCAAAACACTAAACCCACTGCCGGTCCCATGTGCTGGTGTGTGAGTCCGCTCCTGTCATTTTTCTATTTTTTGATTTTCCAGCACGAGCACACGTATGTGAGCTGCAAACACACGCAGTGACACACAGGTAACAGGAACGCACACTGGTTGCTCCTGGGAACACCTCCATCACGTCAGAGCGCTCTAAAACCAGATTTGATGCTGAGAGGAACTCGTCTGGTTATTACAGTAGCTCTGCACAGTCACCATCTTACCTGCAGCAGAAAACAGGCAGGACACTGCTCTTTGCTGCACGTAAGACACTAACTAATGTTTGCTGCATGTAAGATACTGACCGGTCATAGCTGCTCCACCCAATCCTCATTTAATAAAAATTTAATCCTTTCTTCGTGTAACAAACAAACAGTTGATTTTTCAGAGGTTTCAGCAGATGTTTTGTTGAAATCTTCCATATCTGTTTAAATAGAGGTTGAATGAATCTTTCAATTCATGTCCCTGAAGTTTGTTTCTTTTCTCACCTTGGGTGCAGGTGAAGCCTCGGCCTTTTTGCCTGCTGCGCTGCTTTCAGGGTGGTCCGACTGCACGTGACTCTCCAAGTCCTCCAGGCTTTCAAACTTCACGCCGCAGTCTGGACACCTGAGCAAGGCCTTCTCTGCCTGCGTGTCTCCGGGCGTCACCGCTCCCCCCTGACTGGGACTCTGACCGTTCGCTCCCCTAAATGAACATTTACATTTTATTCAGCGCATTCTGGTAATCAGGCTTGAAGCCAAGTTAGAAATTTTTAAAAACTCAGGTGTTTGCTGTAAAACGGTGGCTGAAAGGACTCAAACACAGCTAACACAAACAGAGTCAAGAACAGGACCGGGCTGAGGGAGGCAGACGATCCAACAAGGACCTGATGAGTCCTGGGAAAGGGATTCCAGACTGGACAGGTGAGAATGGATCAATTGGTCAAATTTTCTCTCAATATAATCCCAGAGACATCCAAGACATCTCAAACATCTCTAGATCTGTATTCTGACTCCTGCAGGAGCTCCACGGGTCTTTAACACACCCGGATGGTCCTAATAATCAAAAACTGGTCCCAATGTGCCCGTCTTAAGATCTAAAGAGTATTCCGGTCGATTAAATCCTAAATGTGGGGGCAGCTGATGTGGGCAGAGGACGGCAGCAAAATAATGTGCACGTCCAAGAATCAGTTTTACCAGATGTGTGTGGTATCAAACAGCTGAATTGGTACAGGAGTTTAATATTCACAAGTCACAGTTTTTCAGATATTTGCAGCTGAGACATTTTGTCACATTGAACTCTGACTGTTTTCCTTTGTAGCCCTCTAAACACTTTATGGTTAAGATTTTGGAATGCAGGTCTGATACCAAGTGGGCCTTCAGCAAGATCTATACACCGCTCAGTTCACGAGTCCAGTTTGGACTCTCTTAAACTGAAATGGGAATCGGACTTGGAGGAATCCATATTAGACTCAATTTTGTGAAGGATCATTAAGAACATTTACTCATCTTCATTCTGTCTGAGACACGCTGTGATTCAATTCAAGGCAGTGCACAGGCTGCACTGGCAAGCCGTCTAGGATCAAAGCCAACCTGAACCCCGCATGTAATCATTGTAAACAAACTCCAGCTACACTCTTGCATACATTCTGGATCTGTCCCAAACTGCAGACTTTTTGGCAATCTATAATTGACACCTTCTCTGTGATGTATGGAAGAACTGTACACCCATCACCGTTCATCTCACTGTTCAGGGTGGTCCCTGCAAGGTGGTCGTCCTTCAGCAAGTACGAGGAAGTTGTGATTGCTTTTGGCTCTCTCCTGGCCAGGAGACTTGTCTTGTGCAGTTGGAAGGATCTACACCCCCCAGCATATGAACATTTGATGAGAGGTAATGTATCATATTAATTTAGAAAAATATTAGATATACCCTGAAGGGTTCTGTAAAAAGATTGTGGGACACTTGGCAGCCTTTTGTGTTGTATGTCGCAAACTTGTCAATGCCTGTTTAATTTGTTTATGTATGTTTGACTGATCCGGTGTGGGAGGGGAGGGGTTTTGTTCTTTGTGTTCTCTTTTTTTTCCTGTTTGTATGTTAAAAATAAAAAATAAAAAACTTGATTAAAAAAAACAACACTCAGCTGAACATGGACAGGTTTGGCGACATTCGGCTGTTTTTCAACTCAAAGTCTGTTAGAAAGTGAGCTGCAGATGCAGAGCTGTGCTCCGTTACACTAACCGAGCAGGAGCAGGAACTCCTCGGCTCTGAACGGGCTGGGATCAAACACACCAACAACATTCCTGGCTGTGTTCGTCTTACTGCAGCTGACATGTGTGGGGAGGCCTGCATCGTTTTCACACGGAGCTCTGAGCAGCAGTTGGGGAGTAAACGTCTTACCTGCTCATACAAGCAGCACAGAGACCGTACGGCAGTCCGTTCACGTCCAGCTTCACCAGCTCTCCTTTGTTCTTAAACTCCTTCAAGCAGAAGGCACATTTATACAGCTTGTGCTGCTGCAGCTGCCCGTTGGGGGAGGACGAGGCTGAGCCGCTCCCCCCACCCACTCCTCCATTGCCGCCTGTGGCTCCTCCCGGCACCAAGCTGCTGGAAAGCTTTTGCATGTGGAAGGTGCCGTGGATCTTCAGTTCCAGGGTGGAGGTGACCGTCTGCATGCAGACGACGCAGCGGAAGCCGGTGAGAGAGTTTCGAAGGTCGGGGTGCATCTGACAGTGCTCGATGAACTCCTCCTCACTCTGCAGGGGCATCTTACAGATCCGACAGGTTCCTGTGTCCAGGCTTTTACTGTGGGTCACCTGCACGGGGGACAGAGTAGAACGAGGGACAGATTTTACCGACATGCAAGAATCCAGCTTTAGGATTGTTTTCCATTAATAAAAACATGAATAGGTTGTTGCTGGTAAACCGTCTTTATATAATTCTGATCAGCACATCAGAAAGTGTTTGGATTTGAACTACCAACCTACTGATTCTTCTGACTCACAGCTGCACAAACTGAAGCGTCTGAGCTCTGATCCATCACTTTACCCACAGATGAACAATTTCAAGCGTCAGAAGGACTTTCTATCTGGACTCAGTTTGTGTGTTTGTTATTAGGCCTGTCACGATAACAAATTTTGCTAAACGATTAATTGTCTCAGAAATTATTGCGATAAACGATAATATTGTTTTGAAATTTGACAATAATTAGTAATTATTGTCAAATTTAAGAAGAAACGTTGGTTAATTTTTGAGTGTAGTACCTTTTTTGACCACTGGATGGCAGTATAAGACTGTTTGAACCGAAGGATGGATAGTGAGGGCGCCAGCAGCGCGTCTCTTTAAGAAAAATGGGAGGGAGGCCCCTTGACGTGACACGGGCTGTCTCTCCTGTTTTTCAATTCTCAAAATGGTGGACGCTCGGTGAGGTTTGAGCTCTTCAGCATAACATTTTTCACACATAGCTTTTATTAAACAATCAGTAAACAAGTTCTCAGCTTCTTTTTTCAGAGAAAAACAACTTTTTACACGAAGGCACAGGTTTCAACCATGAATTTTGGAGCTTTAACAAGACGGAGGGTTTTTTTCCCAGAGGTCGGCCTGTTAGCTTAGCTCGTAGCTTAGCTTCTCAGCTTAGCTCGTAGCTTAGCTTCTCAGCTTAGCTGCTTTTAACGATCCAAAAACACGATTTTGGACGGTTAAAACAGATTTTAAGGAGAAAAGAGAAAGAGAGGGGGTCAGTGAAGAGCACCGGAGTTGAGCCTTTTGTCATCCAGTGTCTTCAGTAGAAAGAGAGAGACATGAATAAACGTTAAAGCCGATAAATGAAAATGAGGTTGATAATTTTCATTTATCGTGATTAATTGATTTATTGTTTGTTGCGACAGGCCTAGTTGTTATATTTATTTATTTATTTACTTGACTGTAGTCCACTCATCTTGTTCTATAAATCAACCCACAGGTACACAAATACAAACAAAGCACAATAAATAAAAAAATACCACCCATCTGCAATCCTAAATAAATTCATAACATCTTATTACTTCTTTCTTATCAAGTATATAAATGATTTTATGTGTGTAATATTTTATATTATCATCCTCCTCCATGTCCTGAGGAAGCTTCACTTTAGTGATGTTTCTTCAAACAAACGTTAAAAATCTAATTTCTTCTCTGAATCTCAGAACAAAACCCTCTCATCAGGCCCGGACTCCACCTGCTCCTCCAGAAAACCAGACCCTGAGTCCCGATGATCGGGCCTCCAGCAGCACCAACCTTGTGTTCTGTGAGCGTCAGCAGGGACGGGAAGCGCTCGCCGCAGATCGGACACATGTAATGCTTGGCCGGGCCGCGGTGCGTCTGAGCGTGCTCACGGAGACCGCTCTCAGAGAAGAAGGTCCTGGAACACACGTTGCACTTGTGGTTTCCTTTGATGAAATCTGCCTTCTTCTTTCTGGAACCTGACACATGGAGGTGTTAGTTGTGACGGAGAAGAGGAAGCGAGAGCAGCGAACGGAAGCAGAACTTCTTACCAGCGTCGTCTTCTCCGGGCCGGATGTTGTGGTCGCGCAGCCTGTGGTTCTGCAGGAGGGACTCCATGGTGTAGGCCGCTCCGCAGATGTCGCAGGCATACATCGGCTCAGGGTTATCCAGCTCCTCCTCTCCGCCGCTCGCCTCGTGGCTGTTGGCTGCGTCTCCCCCCTGGGCTGCTCCTCCTCCGACGACTCCGCTCTTCAGAAGAAGGTTCTGTAAATCTGTCGGTTCCACAGAAGCCATCGTTGCTCTTTCAGCTCCTCCTGCACCATTTCCTCCCGCTCCTCGCTTGGAGGTCTGAGAGAGCCCGTTGGGTGTCCCGTTCTGACTCCCGCTGCTCCCCGTCCCGCCTCCGTTTCCCTCGAAGATGCAGTGCTTCTCTCGCAGGTGCCTCTCCAGCAGGGAGATGGCGTGGAAGGCTTTGCCACAGAAGCGACACGTGAACTTCTTGCTGTGTGTGGTGATGTGACACTGGAGCTCCACTTCTGTTCCAAACGTCTCGCCACAGAAAATGCACTTTCTGGGTTTGAGTCCTGAAATAAATTCACCTGATGATCAGAATGCAGATTAGAGATTTGACTTGATTCTCTGCTGCAACCAGTACCTTCCACATCAGCCTCAGCTTTACTCATGCTCTGGTTCTGAACTACCATATTTTCTGCCGTACACGTCGCATCGCCCTATAAGTCGCATCAGTTCAAATATGTCTAATAAAGTGGAAAAATCCATAAATACATCACTTTGCCATATAAGTCGCATCTATTATGCGTCATCGTTGACGACCAGGAAATGTGGGCTGGTGTCGTGCCAAAAATCGATTGGCTATCAAATGGCAGCTGCGGGAGCGTGCACGGGAGGATTTTAACAAGAATTTAACAAGATTAACAATTAAAGACAATTATTTATTTGCTCGAATTTTGCTTAATAAATGCACTGTGACAGTCAAATCAGCTGCATTTCACCGGGGCAGCACAGCAAAATGAAGCTGATTTGATGGTTGCTCCAGGCAGACGAAGGTAGCAGTCTATGGCAAGCCGATTGTGTCATTAATAGCCACGTTTACCTATTACATGACACAACGGCATGCCATACTGCTCGACTGCCATCTAGCAGCTGAAAATGGCAGTGTTCAATATTTTCAATGTCAGAATAAATGAAAACGGTCATATCTCAGCCAAAAATTGATTTATAAATATGAGAAAAAATCCATAAATACGTTGCTTCGGCGTATAAGTCGCAGAGCATGTACTGTAAATTATGAAAAAAAAAGCAACTTATAGGGCAAAAAATAGGGTAATTACTTCAACTTTCTCACTGTTCTTGTTTCAAACACGATCCCTTCTCTCCATAAATCAAAGCTGCCTATAATCGTTCCACAGATGATGCGTACCTGCAAGGCCTCCTGGAAGGCCCAACCTCTGACCCAGGTGGTTGTGTTTAACATGAAGCTGAAGGTCCGCCTCCTTCCTGAAGTCCCAGGTGCAGGCCGTGCACCGAAACAGCTTCTTCTCGTTGCTGTGCTTCACTGCTAAATGCACCTGTGCGGCAGGACACACACCTGTCAGGTTCAGCCAGCCCAGCCACACACGGGTAGAAGGTGTGTTTTTACCTGGATAGAAACTTTGGAGTCAAAGACCTCCTGACAGAGCGTGCAGTGGTACAGGACGAAGGTGTGCATGTCCAGCAGGTGTTTCTGCAGGTCGTCTACAGAGGAGAACTGCTTATCACAGCTCTCACACATGTACTGCGTGGACGTGGTGGTGTAGTGCACCGTCAGGTGTTGAAGCAACGCCTCCTGCGATTCAAAGTCCTCTTTGTTGCACTGGGGACAGGACTGGCGTCTCAGCAGCATCTCCAGGTGGGTCTTCAGGTGCACCTGGAAACCCTCAAAACTGGCAAACCGTAGGTCACACTGGTTGCACGGATAATCCCCGTTGCTCCCCACAGACGGGGTGGAGTCCCCTCCTGCTCTGTGGCGTTTTGGAGAGGAGATCTCTACGTCCGAGGAGGCGGGGCTGAGGTCGGCCACCTTCGCTTGCCGTTTGTTGTTGGCCAGCGGGATGTTCTTGTGGTTCTCTTTTATGTGTTTGGTGAGCTTGAGGAGTGAGCCGAAGATAGGAGAGTTGGTGCAATAAGGGCAGGAGTAAACCTGTACATAAACAATACAAACCCTTTAATCTTTAAGATTATTCTGCATAAGCTTTCTTTGTAAAGATCATGATTCTATTGTGCAATACTACTGATATTTCATACTCTCAATCACCTGAACTACCTCACTAATATCCATAATGTGCAATATAATTGTGAAATACTTGTATTTTTTACTTTCATAGTGCTATTATATCTATATTGCGTTACATTTTTTATATTTTTAGTGTGTGTTTTTCTTAAGCATGTTTTTGCACTGAAAAAAGTATTGGCTCTTAATTTCATTGTATTTGTGTATAATGACAATAAAGGCATTCTGATTCTGATTCACAGTGAATTATAATCCTAACTTAAACTCAGACTGAACACTCATTTAGACTTTAAGTTCAATAACTTTAACCCTTTGTGGCTGAAACGGTTTGAAACTCAAAAATTGTCTTTTTTTTATTTCTAACTGATACAGGAGGGGATTCAAAAGTATGAAAATAAAAGTAAGTTCTTGTGCAATAATTAACTTGTAAACTCAATCAGGCTTTTGTTTTGAAAGTGAGTTAGTTTGGTTTGCAGTAACAGTGCTCCTCAACGTGCTTACCTCCATGAAGGACTGAGACGCAGCCTGGAGGACAGGGGACTCCAGTTTGGCCACGCCCCCTCCAGGTGCAGCAGCTGAGGTGCAGTGGGTCTGCTGAATGTGCTCGGTCAGAGACGACTCTGTGAGGAACCCCATCGAACACTGGTTGCAGAAGAAGGCATGGTTCCCCTCTGGAATGAGAGAAGTTCTCTTAAATATTAGCACCAGAAGAAACAGATGCTTCAGTGCAGCCCAGATTTTAGCAACTTGTTGCAGGGTTCAGACAAAGCAACTTTTCTGTACTTTGGACCCACCCAATGTGGTGGAACCAGCCAGGAGCCCCCCAGGCAGGCAGTGGGACACTCTGATGTGCTCCTGCAGCGAGTTGATGTCTCCAAACATGTCCGGGCAGTAGTTGCAATGAAATGCTGTGACGTTGGTGAACTGCAGCAGAGGGAAAGCCCCCGCTGCACCTACACCCCCGCCACTGGAGCGGTGGGCTTTACGCACATGCTCATTGAGGTTGTAGAGCGTCGGCAGGGTTTCCAAGCACAACTGACAGGTGTGGCTCTGTTGTGGCTTATCAGCATGGATGGTCTTCAAATGGATCTCCAACACAGCCAGACTGTGGAAGTCTCTCTTGGAGCAGTAAGGACAAGAGTAGGTCACTTTGGTCCAGGTCCCTCCTGCTGCTGTTACAAAAAAGGAAAGTCTTTCAGTAAAGGTGTTGCATAGGACATTTTCAGATACAGATTACAACAGTAACTCCAACGTTTTCCATCCAAACCTAAAAACTTCTGTTTTAAACATGTGAGCCAATTGTTGGGATAAAGTGAAACTCTCAGTGGAAAACTGGATCAGGTCTTTGGATAAAAAGGATGACACTGACAGTAAGACAAACTACAGGATTAAAAAAAAGACAACTCCTCCCATTAAAACAAGTGTTCAATGTGTTTTGTGTTCAATTAATTTTGTTAAAAACTAAACATCTGAAGTAAAAGTTGATCAGTGAAGGTAAACAGAACAAACAAACTTCAAATAAGAAAATACAAAAAAACTCTGACGGCAAAATAAAGGTTTGACAATTAAAAATCCTGCTCTGAGTTTACATTACTTTGGTTCACCACCAGAGACTGAACTGACTGCCCTCTGCTGCAGGTAAGACACTGACTGTTCTTTGCTGCAGGTAAGACGCTGACTGCCCTCTGCTTCAGGTAAGACACTGACTGCCCTCTGCTTCAGGTAAGACACTGACTGCCCTCTGCTTCAGGTAAGACACTGACTGTTCTTTGCTTCAGGTAAGACGCTGACTGCCGTCTGCTTCAGGTAAGACGCTGACTGCCGTCTGCTTCAGGTAAGACGCTGACTGCCCTCTGCTTCAGGTAAGACACTGACTGTTCTTTGCTGCAGGTAAGACGCAGACTGCCATCCGCTTCAGGTAAGACACTGACTGCCCTCTGCTTCAGGTAAGACGCTGACTGCCCTCTGCTTCAGGTAAGACGCTGACTGCTCTTTGCTGCAGATAAGACGCTGACTGCTCTTTGCTGCAGATAAGACGCTGACTTCTCTTTGCTGCAGATAAGACACTGACTGCCCTCTGCTTCAGGTAAGACACTGACTGCCCTCTGCTTCAGGTAAGACGCTGACTGCTCTTTGCTGCAGATAAGAAACTGACTGTTCTTTGCTTCAGGTAAGACACTGACTGCTCTTTGCTTCAGGTAAGACATTGACTGCCCTCTGCTTCAGGTAAGACACTGACTGCTCTTTGCTGCAGATAAGAAACTGACTGTTCTTTGCTTCAGGTAAGACGCTGACTGCTCTTTGCTCGGGATAGTCCCATTAAAATTAGCAAAGCATCCAAACCCTGATGGCCCAGGCCGATCCCCACGTCGTCTGCGGGATCAGCTCCTCTCCTGCGGCCTCGTTCAGCAGCCTGGTTGGGTTTCAGAGTCGAGTCCGGAGTGGAGCCTCTCTCCAGACTGGCGCTGGAGTCCGGCGTGGCTGAGCTCATGGAGGCCACACTTCCCAGTGCAGGATCTGGACTGGCGGCGCTGTGGTTCGAGGAGTCGGGCTGGCGATGGCTGTCCAGGTGGCAGTAAACGTCTTCCACGGAGGTGAAGTGCTCTGCGCAGACGGGACATCTGAGGAGACACATGAAGACTTCAGTGTTCCAGAGTTTGGACGTGTTACGAAGTGCAGCAGCGTCGTACTTGTGTTTGCGGTTGGCGTGCTGCGTCTCTATGTGCGTCAGCAGCGAAGCCTCGTCCAGGAAGATCTCGGGACAGTGGATGCACTGCAGGTCCGCTCGGTCCGACAGCTGGGGGTGTCGGGTCAGAACGTGTTTTTCCAACTCGTCTGTCTGACTGAAGGTCTCCTCGCAGTAGTCACACATGTACAGATCCTGGTCCAGGTCCTCTCCCTTCTTCCCTCCATCTTTTTCACTCCTCAGAGCCAGATGCTCCCGGTTCTTACGATGAGCCTGAACGAGTCGAGTCCGGATACAAAGAAGAAAGAGTTCAGTTACAATAACGCTCAACAACGCTCTCAGATCCTGCAGACTTGTCCACATTTTGTCCCGTTCCAACCTCAGACCTCTCAGGATTGCTTTGGGATGTGACAGAGATGTGACCAGAGTTCAGACTTTGTAGACCCACCTTCAGCTGCAGGTCAGGTTCTGAGGAGCTTCAGAATGATAAACTATCTGAAAAGCATCGCTTCACACTGGACTCTACGCTGCGTTGATGCGTCACGTCACACTCCAGCAGAACAGTTGGACGCGTGGTTGGAACGAGACAAAACGGGAGATCTGTGAACACATGAAGCCAGGACGGAGGCGGTCGGCTCTTGGCTCGGGAGGATTTACCTGCATGTGGCTCTGCAGGGACGAGGTGGAGGAGAAGCCACGCTTACACACAGAACATTTAAAGGGTTTGCTGGAGCTGGGCAGGGACCAAACAGACAACTTTAGATGAAGAAGTCTTTTTCTGCAGAGATGTTCAGGTAACAAGTTGAGGAGTTACCTGTGAGTCTTCAGGTGAATCTTCAGGTGATCAGAGCGAGAAAACGCAGCTTCACATTCCTGACAGCTGTACTTTTTATCTCCTGAAGGACAGACACAGTGTGATCAGAAACCAGGACTCAGGGTCACAAACGGCCATTTACAGAGAAATCCATGTGGAGCTGGCATTGAACGGCCAATTACAGATCTGAACAAAAAACCACTGAACCAAAGGGATCATGAGAACTTCTAATTTAGTTTCTATCATTCAGACACATCCATCCATCTATTATCTTTTATCCACTTCTTCCTTTTAGGGTCGAGAGGGTCACTGGTGCCCATGTCCAGCAGTCACTGTGTGAGAGGACACCCTGGACAAACAAGACAAACAACCGTTCACTCTCTCTCTCACCTAGAGACAGTTTAGGGTTACCAGTCTAACCTGCATGTTTTTGGTCTGTGGGAGGAAACCCAAGTACCCGGACAAAACCCACGCAGCACAGAGAGAACATGCAAACTTCACCCAGAAAGGTCCCTGGCAGGGATTGATCCTGCGACCTTCTCGGTGAGAGGCGGCAGCTCTACCAACGGCTCCACCGTGACGCCATTCAGACCCATAAATGCCCAAAATGTCAACAAAAACTGAATCTACACATGAATCAAATGTTTTCACTCCAGGTCCACAATGTCCTCAAAGAACCACCCTGTCCTTTGGATGTACCTGTGTGCAGGTGGACATCCTGTCCACAGGACATGTACCTCTGTGCAGGTGGACATCCTGTCCTCAGGACGTATACCTGTGCGCAGGTGGACAGGATGTCCTCAGGATGTACCTGTGTGCAGGTGGACATCCTGTCCACAGGATGTATATCTCTGTGCAGGTGGACATCCTGTCCTCAGGACGTACCTGTGTGTGGGTGGACAGGATGTCCTCAGGACGTACCTGTGTGCAGTTTGACGTGGCGGTCTCTGCTCCTCTTGTGTTTGAACAGGCGGCTGCAGAAGGTGCACCTGAAGGGCAGTTTGTCGCTATGGATCTGCTCGTGTCTCTTCAGGTAACTCAGGCGACTGCAGGAGGACAGAGGACAGATTTATATTTTACATGAACAAAATTTAAAATGTCTTCAATAGGACACATTTATGTTTTTTTTATGTTTCAGACACAATGGATGCCATTTTCCACTGATATGATAATAAATCTGTTTTTATGTTAACAGTTTTATCAAGTAAATAATGAGAAAACAAACTAAAGCATAAAAAAATCCTGAAGAAGAACTAAATGTTTTTAAAGTTAAAGTTTGGAAATGTCTTTAGGACAAGAAAAGTCCTCAATTTGTCTCCTAATGTCCCACACAGTCTTGTGTTTAACGGTAAAAGACGTCCCTCTGACGGCTGCACACGGTTAAATCTTGTCTTTACAAACAGTCCCACGTGGTTCCAGATCAACCCGGATCGATCATGTCAGAGCCGGTTGAGAGGGACTGCCCCCCCCCCCCAAGAAAAATGTGGATTGTGGATTTTTTTCTGAGAATCTTCCCCCACCTGGAACAAAGATGGCGCCATGTACTGAAAAAAGAAGACCCCAACCTACAAGTAGACCAGGAAAAACTTTCCAAATAATTTATAAAACAACATAAAACCAATCTACAAACAAACATCTAACGTCTCTTTTAAGAAAACGCACTGATCTGAGCACCTTCCATCAGTTTTCTGAACCAAATCCTTCAAACACTCAACGCTAACGAAGGCCAGGACGAGGTAAGAGGCAGGCAGAAGGATTAACGTGGAGAATAATGATGATGACTCTGGAGTGTGAGGAAGACAGCTGTTCTTAAAATGGATCATGACTGCGTCCCCGGAGAGGTTGGTGAGAAATGTATTCACCTCATTCCCTCTGTGTTCCACTTAATTCTGCTAATACACACCGTGCGCTTCGTTGATGTTCGCACGCACGTTCAGGAGGAAGAGCTGACGAGAAACATCCTAACTCCGGTGTTTACCGAGGTGGACGCTGAAGGTACCTGAAGGATTTATCACAGAACTGGCAGGGGTACGGCAGCCCGGAACCTCCTTCCTCCTCTCCTCCGGTCGCCATGCCGAGGTCGCAGCAGCCATCGGGCATCCGAGAGGGCGACGCCACGTCTTTACTGGAGGGTGAGGAAGGCACCCAGGACAGACCCGCAGGGTCATCATCACCATCTGATGGGACACACACACACACATCTGGTGTTTTCCACACAGCTGCAGGATGTAAATAAAGAGGCAGGAGGTAAAACAGGGCCAACTGCAATGATTCACAAGGAGTTTCATCGTTCTTGGATGGCAGCCTGTGGGAGTTCAGGTGAAAAAAAAAAAAAAAGGATCTAAACAAATAAAAAATAAAAAAAACACACATTTATCCTGCTCGTACAGACCATACATAAATATACATAAGATAAATGAGGACGGCAGAGATAAAAAAGAGAATAAAACAGAAGAGAAAGAGGCACTCCGGCTGTGGCAGCATCTAAATAGAAAGCTCCAAGAACTATGTATCCCCAGCGGAGCCCAGAAATAAGGACAGAGTGTATTTTCTCTCCCTTCTTCCTCCCTCTGCAGCCATCCCTCCTTCCATCCCCAAGGACCATAGATCCGCCTCATCATATTTTCATTAGGGCCTTGGCAGATTGAAACGTCAGAGAAGCGATTAGGAAATGTGCGGAACAATATTCACTCCCTTCATCTGTCATACATAGATTATGCACTGCTCTCTCCCTCTCCTGCGCAGTTGTGCTCACAGGCAACAAAAAGGCCACAACTCCTTTTATAGACTCTTCAGAATGGATCTGAGACGACAAAAGACGAGGCTGAATAACGCTTGATATTGTCCCGGTCCTCCTCTTTGTGGGCCCTGAAGCTGCACAGTGAAGCTGTTTAGCATTCGGCTAGAAAATGTAAAGAGAGCGGAGGCTGTTTTTATCTTCTTTTATCTTAGAGCTGCATCAACCAGAGCAGAAACCAATCAAACAGGGGGGGGGGGAACAAGACACAAGAGTGACAGCACAGAGAGCGAGGAAATGTCAGATGTGACGATTCCAACTGTGGAAATCACATCAAAGTCCTCATGGTTTTACCTGAACCCCCTCATTCCTCCATCCTGCAGGTGGACCGAGTCTATGACAACGTGCGAAGAAAAAAAAAAAGTTCTAGTGATGAATTGACGGCAGAAAAACACAGACACTGTTACAAACAAATACAACTCTGTGGGGCCTCTGGATTAAAACAGCTGTCAACACAATGAATGATAAATCTGACTGGAAGCAGCAAGAAAAATCTGTTTGGATGAAGATGTGGACGCGTCAGGGTGAAGCCTGGTGTGGAGGCAGGAGAGGAGCGAGCGAATACAATTATTCAGCTCCTTCATGAAAGTCGATCGGTTCCTCTTCAGAGCCACAGTCTGTCCACACACACACACACATACATATGCACACATACTGTTAGATAGTTTCCAAAACAATTGTATCACCATCAAACTTGTTGGTCCACTATGTGAGCGTGCTACTTATGGGAATGAGTTTGTTGTGGTTCCTGGGACTGATGAAGTCCTTTGGATGAAAAACGAAACGCGTCAACAAAAACAAACCATCCAGAGGACCTGACTTAACTTTGTTGGATTTTCTACCTGGATTAAGAACTTTGATGTTCTGAACCACTTTGGCTATGGCTGCCTCAGAGGAGTCAACGGAGGAGAGTGCGGACTCCAGAATCCATCTTAGTACCACAAAACTGATTGGTCCACTATGTGTGTGTGCTACCGTACTTGCCTCCGTACACGCCGTATAAGTCGCATCAGTCCAAATATGTCTAATAATGTGGGGGGAAAAAAAGTTGCATCTATTATGCGTCACCGTTGACAACCTGGAAACGTGGGCCGGTGTTGTGCCAAAAACTGAGTGGCTGCCAAATGGCGGCCGCGGGAGCGTGCACGGGAGGACTTCAACAAGAGTTTAACAAGATTAACACTTAAAACAATTATTTGTTTGCTCGACATTATAGTAAAGGTGTGTCTCAGTTGAACTTTTACTTAATAAAAGGACTTTTGGTCAGGAGTTCAGGAGCGAGACAAAGGTGGCTCTGTATGGCAAGCCAAGTGTCACATTAATAGCCACGTTTACTCATTAATGAGACACTTGGCTTGCCATATTAATCGAGAGCCCTTTAGTGGCTGAAAATGGTAGTGTTCGATATTTTCCATGTCAGAATGTGAGATCATCAGATCTCAGCCAAAAATTGGTTTATAAATATGGGGGGGGGGGGGGACATAAGCACGTCGCTTCGCTGTATAAGTCACAGGCATGCTCATTTATACAATAACTTACACAGTGAAAATTACGGTACTTATGGGACTGCGTTTGTTGTGGCTCCTTGGACTGAAGAACTCTTTTGGTTGAAAGACGAAACGTTTCAACACAAAGAAACCGTCCAGAGGACCTGGTTTAACTTTCTTGGATTATTTTACCTGGATTATTGAACTTTAATGAACTGAATTGATTTGCTTTTGCTGTTCCTGCTCGATTTGCTGTGGTTTTAGTGTGTCAGGAGTTTGTGTACTTTTCAAGTTTAGTTGCGTTTTTACAATTATTGTGCAGGTTTTGGAGCCGAGAACCCCCAAACAGTATCTTGTTGTGTGCATGCACAATGACAATAAAGATCCCTTCCTTTAATTTACGACCAGGATTCAGTTCATATCGTGGTTTTAGAGTCACAGTTCAGTATCTGTTTATGGTAATGGTTTATACCTCATGTTTTAGAGTCACAGTTTGGTGCACTGTACAGTACTTTGATTTTTGGGTCTTGGTTTAGTATCTACATCTGTTTTTTTATGCAACCCTTGTAACCATACGTTTTGTTTTTTTTAATGTCAAATCCCATTAACATCACAGATCTCTGTGTGTAAGGTCCTCCTGGGCCTGAAGGCAGCATAACATGCACATTTTTGGACTGTGGGGGGGGAACTGGAGTGCCCGGAGAAAACCTTTGTAAGCACGAGAACATATAAGTTCAAGTTCAAGGTTCTTTATTGTCATTCGCATCACATGTGGTACATGAGGTGGAACGAAATTGTGTGCACAGCAGAGTCCCAGTTACACCCAGAAATAGCTAAAACATAAAGTATAAAAAGAAACAGTAAATAAGGATCTAAGATATACGCTAAACACTAATGATGTCAAATAATACGGTGTATTAAACTGCAGCCCGGACATGAGTCTGTGGTGAGTAGATGGGCATGAATGAATAAATACAGCAGCATGAGATCAGCAGCACAGATAAGTCACATATCAACAATTAAAGTGCCATTACAATGTTTTTATTTTGATTTTTTGTAAACTTCACACAAAAAAACCTCAGGTCCAAACCAGGGATTGAACCCACTCAACCCAGCACCTTCTTGTTGTGAGGTAATAGTGCTAACCACTAATCTATAGTACTGCTTGCTTATGTTCTTTTTATGGGATGTACCTTATTTATATCTTTATAAGACTGAGCTTATTACAGGTCCTCAGATTGACAAGTCTTTTGGATTAAAGACGAAACGTTTTAACAAGTTTATTTTTTAATCCATCCAGAGGACCAGGCTTAACTTTGTTGGATTTTTCTACCTGGATTACCTGGAGCATGCATCAGGGTATGCACCTTAGTTTTAGGGTTAAAATGTGGTAACTTTTTGTAGGGTCATGGTTTGGTACATATCTTGTTTAGTTTTTTGTTTCTCTTTTGTTGTTAGTTATTGCAACAGATCAATGGATTGCATGCCTGCTACAAAATAAAATCAATGAAGGAACCATCTTCATGGAGTAAGGATGGAGTTCTGTCTACAAAATAATATCAATGAATGAACCATCTTCATGGAGTAAGGAT